GCAGTCACGTCTGTCCAGCGTAGGCCTGATTATGACCTCAGTGAATATGGAATATGCATTGCTGAGAAGCACCTCCAGGACCGAAGGTCGCTGACGGCAGCGCGGTCCGTTCAAACTCGGTTTCGTTTTTTGCTCGTGTCAATTTGTAAATACATTTCCTCACTTTTTAATATATTAACAAAGATAAAGCGTGCCATTTTGTTGAAGTTCCAACTCTAACAAAACTGTTGCTTAAAAAATTTGTTAGCTTGCACTCAGTTCCTGCAACGCATCTAGTCTCAGTCATGGGCCAACTCGCTACAGACTGCTCTCCGCAGTTTTCTTTGGGCCACAACATATGTGGACGAAATCGGTGTCCGTCGAATGTACGAGGTTCTATAAAGCGCTGCACTTTCAACGTCTTGCGGCATTTTGAACGTACGGGTTTAGGGTGCGTAAACATAAACCATTTATCTAAACCTAGCGACCCGTTTGTTTGCGCAAGCTGTCTCTGCCTTAAACATGTTATAAAGTTCGTGAATAAAAAGAGAGCTATCACAAACGTAACCAGGTTCACCACTGCTGAGTCGGAAGGACAAGCGCGAATGTTACTTTCGAATGGGGCTACTAAATTCAAAACTCTAGATTTTTCTAAATCCATCGAGGATATAAACACAAGGAACACAAAGGCCTAAACTTAAGACATTAGTGAATTTTCTTCCCTGAAGGAGAACCTAGCGCCGTCCATCCCGAGTTCGTTGCTTGGGGAAAAGATCATCCATTTTTCTAACGCGGAAACGAACACTGCCGTACAGAAGACCTTGAGGAGTTGTGTCAACTCAACGATCGATTGTATGTCTTAGGACTGTCCCCTAAGGGCGCAGGGGCTGGGACAGGACGTCTTACAGGAGGGGCAAAACCAGACTTTTGCTTAGCGCCAGTTCAGCCGACCCCAAACTTTTGGCCAAACCTACCGTATTTATGGTCATTTGCGCCCTTGAAAGCCTGCCGTCGCAACCGGCCGTGATTTCGGATTCCAGTTAATACTCGAATACCGCAGCCCTTGAATATCAAAGGCAGCAGTGCTCGATGGGAAGCAAACCTGACGGGAATGCAGCGTCTAAAGTGCGTAGAACTATCATCGCATATTTTCGCAGCAGACGATAAAGATGCGATAGTGAACTCCCCGCCAAAGTAACAATTTCTGACATGGATTGGGCCAGATTTTTGGAGACAAGCAGCGAAGCTTATCGACCACAAGCGTCGACTTCAAAATCGAAGAATGTTGCCAAAAATCTATAGCCACCAAGTACTTGGGCATTCCAGTCTCCAGCTCTACCATGTCAAATGCGGCCCCCCGTAATGTGGACACGCATCGCCCATGACAACCACAGCCAAAGCTAAACACCCGATAATAATAATAATAATAATAATAATGTGTATTTCCAGTTTGTGGGTGGCATACCGTCTGGCACGATCTTGCGTTTACAGACCGAATGGGGGTTTGCGGGTAGTGGGGATTGCGCGAAAATGGGACAATTTCATGGACAGTGGGAAGTACTCGATTAAATAATAATATGTTTCTTTTGTAACTTGTGGGGAACAATAGGTATGAGGTCCGACTAATTCAAAGACTAAGTCGGCTGATATGAACTAAAACTGGAAAACCATTTCTGGCCATGAGCGACCCTGGATGGTTGAGTAAATGGCCGGAGTCACAACCAGCAAAAGTGGAGGTGGAGATGGAATAATTCGAATTGGGAGAACATGGCATGTTTAGCCTCAAAATTGTGGTTCAATCTGAGAACAAGCAGACTCACTGGTTGCATTGTTGTTGGGAAGTCAGGTGCAGAAGTTTGGTTGGATGAGGACATAGAGGTGGTTGCATTCAAACGAGTAGTCTAACAGGTTGAAATGAGTGTTATGGTGGTAGTTGGGGTCAATGAATCGAGTAGGCAAGAGGGCTCGGTCGGGAGGAGGAATGGAACAGTTGCGGGTGTACTATCAAACTGAGTATGGCAGTGCCGTGTCGTCATTGGCCTGACATGCTTCAGTTTTTGGACAGCCCCGTGACGGACGTCACATTTGAGATGATTCGTCTTGGGTATGCAGTTCATTGAGCAGTGGTATTCATTTCAGCCTGGTCGAGGAAACTAGCTGGAACGAAGCCGATATGGGACTGCAGGTTTCCTTGGTCCGCTTGGTGATCCCGGAGTCGTAGATCATAGGGCAGGTGGAGTGGAGATCAGCTAACCAGGTCGTCCAAAGCGGGCACTTCCGAAGTTAAAAGCTTGGGAAGGTGAGGGGATGGGGGAGATTCGCAACACATAGTGAGTTTGAGGGGATATAAAATGGGATAACACGCATTAATACACAGAAAGAAAAACTTGGCATCTGCTGCAACTAGGGTGATAACATGTGATTACATGGAGTAAGAAATAGATAGATTTGTACATAGTAGGCTAGCGACCAGGGGTTGAGTTTGCTAACAAACGACATTACATTACAAGGGATCTAGTAAAAGCCGATATAAGCGCGCAGAAGCGTGGTATGGGAATCAGATGTGTAAGGGCTGGCGTGAATGGACTTCTAAGCTAACTGGTCAATCGAGTGTTTATTACATGAGTTGGATAATACCAGTAGAGTATGTGTGTGCCTCAGAAATAGTCACCAGTCCCCGAAGCACTGATATCAGCTCTAATCTGTAGGTGATGCATAGCGTTGAAGACTTTCGTGTCTACCACTGGGAGTGGTGAGTAGATGTATTTTCTGTTTGGATGACGGAATGGGCTTTGTTGCGGTAGAGCCTCTGTTCTGACGAAAGCAGATGCAATTATGCTCGCCTATGTGGGCCATGGGCATTGCAGAGTATCTTCGGGCTATCCCAAGTGATCTTTTAATTTTCTGTTTTTACAGATGAGAGGCCATTTTTTTCTGTCTGTGGTTTATGGCATTGTCAGTTGCATAACTCTACCGAGGCGAGCTGAGCACCAGCAGTAACAAACAGAAGTAAGCAGTACTTTTTTGATTTCCTGACTGGCCAGACTCAGAACCACCGGCGATGGGCGATGCACCCGTGCTACTGGAGGGGTGACGGGTATGCAAGCGCACAATGGCGCAACGTAACATGGCGACCCTCCCTGTAGGGTCAACACGTCCACCACACGAGGTTGTCTCCCTCGTGCATGCTACCAGATCTGCGAGGTGGAAAACCATCCAGGCAGTCATAAGTGCGGTTTGTGCATTATTAAATACTCCAGCTACCATTTTTTGGTCGGTGGAAAGCAAGGACAATAAAGATAGGCCAGTCAACCCGAACAAGCAACAGCATACAGGCGCTGGTAGAGGCAAGTCGCGGAGGAGAAGTGAAATGACAGTTGTCAATGAGTCGGTGGGACAGGAATGTTGATACCCACGGCGATTGCAACATGGCTAAACGGC